ACTGAGGATTTCAAGCTTCAGTTCATAATCTCCTATTATGTAGTAGCCACATGTGGAGACACTTATCAAGGAAGGGGAAGTGATGGGAAGCTTCCTAAAATTCTTCTGAGTATGTTCATTCTGTTCCCAAATGTAGGCATAGATACAGGAGGCTGTCATTATTGTTCCATGAACGCGGTTTCTGCCACTGAAGGATGATGCATTACAGTAATTCTCTTTGTTGTAAGAAGCAGACCTTAGGTTTCTTTGTGTCATAATGAAGTATAGGGCTTTAAAACTTTTCATTATTCATATCCCACATATATTTCTTTTCATTGAAGTGGCCAACTTTATGACACCTAGTTTTGTAAAAACCTTTTTTCCCTCCTACCTTCCCTTGCTTGTTGCTATTTTCCATTTTGTCTTATTTTCTGGTCAGCTTTAATTGTCATTCTGATGCCTTGATTTAGAAAATGTTTTTTTCAATATACAGTTTTCAATCTTTCTATGCTAACTCTCTGGAATGCTAAATCTAAGAGATGAGTCTTAAGAGCTGAGTGATCACCCTTGGCATACTTAATTGTAGACAAGTTGTTTGAACTTGTAACACTTGGAAAATGAAAGTGAATATATTTGTTTTGTTATTCCCATGGAAACGAGATATTTATAATGAGCTTCTAAAAACAAGTTACGAATATACACAAAGAAGCTGATTCTTTGTAGCAGTTACTTAATAAAAAGGAATTAGTTTATTTGGAGGGTTGTGGGTTGGGTTTTCTTCTTAATTTCATGAGGTCTGAAAATCTGGTACAAGGAAGGGATTTCCTGAATGTGAACAGGACATAAAAATGGTGAAAATAAACTGGGGGTATGACAGCCTTGTGTGTTATGCTGTATTCATAGTATTAGAATTTTTCATAAATTATTTTGAGTTGGAGGGAGCCTTTTACATGTTGTCTAGGTAAACACCACCACCTTGCCCTTCTCCCAGTGAGCAGGAGCATATTGCATGAGACCAGGTTGCTCATAGTCCCATCCAACCTGACCAGGGATGGGCCATCTATCATTTCTCTGGACAGCCTCTTGCAGTGTTTCATCACCCTCCTAAAAATGTCTTCCTTATGTCTACTCTGAATCTACCCTATTTTAGTTTGCAGCCATTACCTTGTCCTATCACAACAGCTCTGCTAAAAAGCCTGCCCCCATCCTTCCTTGTATGCCCCCTAAAAGCTGCTGTAGGGTCTCCTGGAGCCATGTCTCCACCAGATTGAAGAACCCCAACTCTCCCAAATTTGTCTTCATGGCAGGGCTGTTCCTTCTCTCTGATCAACTCTGTGGTCCTCCTCTGGACTCGCTTCAACAGGTAAGTGTCTTTCCTGTGCTGGGGCCCCAGAGCTGGATGCAGTGCTCCAAGTGGGCTCTCAGCACAGCAGAGTAGAATCCCCTCCCACAGCTCCCATGCTGCTTTTGGTGCAGCCTCGGATACAAGTGTTCGCTTTCTGGGCTGGGAATGCATGTTGCTGGCTCATGTCCAATTTTCCATCCAATAGTGCGCACAAGTCATTATCCCTAGTGTATATCTGTGGACCTGGATTGGAGAGACTGTGTAAATCAAGGTTTGTTGAAAGACTTTTCCTCTGTCATTTCTACCTGCTCAGTCAGTGGTCTCCTGTGCATTCAACCCATGTCTGTACAGACAGAGGAGAGACGAGCATGCTCTTCTAGTTAGTAATCATGATGACAGCATCTGCCCAGAGCTCCTCAAGACCTGTCTCTAGAGAGAGGAGGGGTATAGGATTGCTGCTTGATAATTTAGATGCTGGTACGTGGCATACATGTACCATACCTCGCATACCAAAAGTGCAAGACCATGTCATGTTCCTAGGGTTTTCCACAAGACTTGGCATATGTTGCAGCTGTAGAGTTTTGGAGTTAATTATGATGCTTTACAAGTGGATTTGATAATGTAATACATGGAGGAGCAAGAGGGGATATTTTTGGAGTGTAGAAAAAGATAACAAATTTCAAAATTAAAGCTGTTTTATTTAGGAAACTTGGGATATAGTTGCAAAAATTCCTTCACTCCCAATCCTGTTTTAAACATCGCTCCAATTAATGTTGTTGTCTGGTAAAGAATATCAGCCATGATGCACATTTGTTTCTCTTTCGGGGTTCAGCTGCAATAATAGTACATTGGTCATATATGCGTCCAATTTGTGATTTTACCTTAAGCTGAAGAGGAAAAATCCATTCATTTCCTTACTCCATGTAAGTGACAGGGAAGAGATGAAATGCGAAAGGTAGGTAGACCTGTGTCTTATACCAAATGTTCTTTGTTCATCTTGGCAGCCGTATTTATGTATTTTTCCTTTTAATTCATACAAAAAAGTTATGCTCTTCTGTTTAATAAGTGTGCAAGCAGAAATTCTTCATGTGTTAATAAAACCCTGAGATCAGTTCATTTGTTTAGAGTGTGGCGCTAATAGCAACAAGGTCATGGATTTGATCAGTTAAGGGTTGAACTTGATCGTCCTTGTGGGTCCCTTCCAGCTCAGAATATTCTGTGAAAAATAAACAAGTCAACATGAATTTTTGCTGGTTTTGCTGAAGGTGATCATTTTCTTTCCCACTGCAATGATCCTGACTGATGATCCAAGCTATACCTATGTGCTACAGAAAACTGCCTTTGGCAAGGCCTGAATGCTAGGCTTGGCTAGCATGGCAGTGAGTCTGTAGAGAATGAAGGGTCTTAGGGTGTTGTTATGCTGGAGCATAACAACGGTGCAGTGATTGCAGTGATTGACAGTGCTTTCTTTTTCTAAATGAGAGGCAAAACAAAATGAAGTCTTGACCTCTTTGTGCTATTTAAAAGTTCTTGGACATGTTTCATCAGAAGAGGGATGTTAATCCTAGTAATGAGAATCCCGGAGAAATTCCAGGTAGTTAATTGCAGTTTATTCCACCTGTCTTTCTGATTAATGAAATACTGGATCATATTCTTTATTTCTACTGTCATGGTGTTCTTTTACCAGCTAATTCTGAGATACTCCAGCGCATGCTTTACCTAAAGCAGACAAGTAATTGCAAACAGCAATGTTTGGTCAAAAAATACATAAAGTTTATTTTGTGGCGGTTGCTGACATTTGATACATATGTTGGGCTGCATTGAAAATAAAGAATGCTAGTAATGAACAATTATGTAAAGGGTTCCCTTAGTGTTGAATTTTGTTGTGAATAACCAATTTATCTTTGTTTTAAAAGCCTGGTATAAAATTTCATTTTTGTTTAGTTAATTGAAGCAGGAGTCACTTTCTAAGTGTTGATTGCTAAACCAGAAATATAATTTCCCTTTTTCATTAGTGGAGGCATTCTCTAGCTGAGAGGAATTTAACCACTGAAGGTATCTAAACGAAGATCAAAGATAAATCCATGATGTATAGCTGAATTGCTCTTCACAATGGTCTTTTTGACACCTGAATTAAAATTAGATCTCTGTGTACTGCTTTTCTAGCCCAAGATTTCTGTTGCTGGTGCATACTTTATCCTAGCATCTATTGTTTATTCCTATATAAACAGCTGTCCCTGTTGAAAGGACTGGTCTGGGTTATGTGGTGGTGCTTGGTTATTTTTTTCCCCTGATTTGCTTGAAATGTTCTCTAAATTGGCATAAAAATAAATGCTCAAGCAGCAAACAAAACTTGTGTAGTAGCATGTTTCCCAGCAACATGGACTCTCAAATGTTACTTTTACTTTGAGAGTTTTGTAATGTAAACATGTTCTGCTTTTTAAGATGGTACTATTTAAGATTATATCAGCATAAGTATCAAAACATCTTTTTGAAAATGGTTCTATTTGATCTGATAAACTTTAGTTCAAAATATATGGCTACCTTTTAGGGTTAAATTCTTATTCTAAAGATCAGAGAATCTGTAGTTTACTAATAGAGGAAAAGATGTGGTTTGTCTCTTCTGTAATTCGTAACAACTAAAAATAGTTGGTTTTTGTTTAATGTGAGTAAGCTCACTGATGCTGTTGCTTTGTACCTGAATTTTAAAATGAGGAACACTAAAACTAGGTTAATATTAGGAAATTGAGTGGAACTGTTCTTACTCTGCAACATTATCTCCTGCCTAAACTGAATATTTTAAAATGCTAGAAAACAGACATGCATTAACCTTCTTTTGGTTAAACATATCGCTGTAGTGAATGCTTTTTAAGAGTTGAAACCTTTGGTGTGATGGACCAAAAAAGATCTGCAGGAATGACAGTATAAACTGGTGTTTGTAAAGTGTAAATTTCCCATTATCAGAATTAGCACCACATACTTGTACAGCAAAGTCTATGAGTTTACCAGGCTACTATATTGTGTTTTCTGCATACCTTTAAATGTTTTTTGAAGATGATTATCTACAAAGGAAGACAGGTATTGAATTTAAATGTGTCATTTAAAAACTTGTCAGTCTTCAATTGAAAAGGAATTTCAAGTTTTAAAATGCATTTCAGTGGTTTGCTTTGCGCAATAGCAGAATAATTCTTAATTTATTTGTGAATACGTGAATAGTGACTTATAAATAATATGATAATAAGTTATTCAAAGAGGAATAAAAAGTAGTAAATAAAAAGACTTGCCTAAGATGCTTCAGATCTTGTCTTATATATGCAGGCATTATAAGTGATCAACCAAATGAGACTGTATTTAATTTGATGAGCTGCAGGCATTTTGACAGTAGACCCAGTCACTTTATTTCCTCTTTATTTCTGAACATTCATCAAAGAAAATCTGTGAAGTGCTATCCTGCTGATGTGCTTATAAAAATAAAGTGATATTCCTGGAATATGTTTTATTTGACACCATAAATGGGGTGCATGGGCTTTCCTGTTCTGTTACAGTTTTCTGTTGTTCACTGTGGTAAACTGAAACCATTCTGCTATTCTTGAAATGCTTTTTGTGCTCTCTTGTGATTTCTTTCAATTGCTTTTTGTGCTCTCTTGTAAATTCTTTCAATTGTGTGTTTCAACAGGGGAAAGTCTGTAAGAACTATTACTTTTGAGCAGTTTAAGGAAGCTCTTCAAGAACTCTCCAAGAAGCGATTTAAAGGCAAAAGTGATGAGGAAGCACTTCAAGAAATGTATAAACTAATTGAAGGAAAAGGCCCAGGTTTAACTGGAGTAACGGTATGTTACTGGTCTCATGGACAGACTGTTTCTACCTGTCCTTTGTTCTATTGCAGTGTTGTTATGTTTACCACTTCCACAATCCACAAATCCAATTTCTCTGTGAGCCCGAAGGTAGCAATTGCAAAGCAGAATTGGAGCAAAGACTGTGCAACAACTAAGCGTTGTGCTACTGTGTGTTCCTGTGTGGTACTGTCATTGTTTCTTCTCAGAATTGTACTATCACATAGTAGCACGTCAGTAGCACCTGAGCTTGTGCATGCTTAGAACAATGAAATGTTTTTGAAGAGTGGTGTATCCAAATCAAAAGGAGTATAATGACATTACAGCCTCAATAAAAAGTTTTAAGATGTTTTGTGAAATACCAGAAAGCAAAGGCATCTTAAAATACATTTAATTACACCATGTGAATCCTGGAACACTGAAAATCTGGGAATAATTATCTTGTGGTCTGGTCTTTGTTTCTTGTTTGTTCCAAGTCTGTCAGAGCTATAATGTTCTGTCTTTTTCATTTTAAAATACTGGTGTTGAGCTTTGTATGTGAAAAGGGAGCTATAAAGCATACTGTACATTAGCTTGATTGTCCTTTTAGATGCCCAGGCTAGGCAAGCTTTTTTCCTGTATTTTCGGAGATAGTGGAGTGTGTACCATCAGCTTGAATAGTTCTGTCAGTTTAGTTCATCTGCTTAAAATTTGTGATTCTCCTGAATTTCGCCTGTAAAGCTCTGAATGAAAATGTAATCTTTTCAGAAACTGGTTCTCTATAAATGATCAGTGTAAACATCAAGTGGAAATATCTCTTTTGAGTTCTAAAATAAGTTAGCTTTTTGCAAGTTTTTATTTTATTGCTCTTCTACTCTCATTTAAAACAAGTGGTAATTTTGATACAGACGTAAAACTTGAACCTTCCTTTTTGTTCTTCACTTGCCTTAATAGGTTTGAATAACTTCTTCATCTGTTCTGGGAGTCTTCTCTCAAATTGTGTACATTCTTCTACACCTCACTCCTGCTTCCATTTTGGGTATTTTAGCAGGCAGACATTGAAATGAGCAGTATCTACTACTAAAGGAATAGTCTCTTTCTGTGTGGGATGCATGGATGAGAGAGCTTTGCAGATGCAACGTAGTATCATATAGGTTCAGCAGAGGTATATGAGTGAGCCGGAAGGGGAGAAAGAGTGGAGGGGAATATGAGCCAGAGATGTGAGGCTTGACTGTTCAATATGTGCCCTTCTGGGGAGAGTTGAGAAGTTAAGGGGATCAGAATATCTTGTTCTGCTACCTGGAAAAGTAAGGGGCAGGAGGCAGAGCTTAAAAAGGAGGGAGATTGCAGGCTGGGAGTGTGTGCATGTGTGTATGTAAAACCAAATTTCATGTTTGTTTTCTCATGCTAATTTAGTTCCTGGATGGTAAAGACCCACAAACTTGGCAATTAAAGACATTAAAATAAATGAATGAATACAAGGCCACTCTCTTCCTGCAGTCCAGGAGCACAGATATGAATTCTCTATACAAGTTTTTAATGCTTAGTTTACTTTGGGAAGTCAATATTGTGGAAATTTCAAATTGTGCTGTTTTCTGTGCAGTTAGATAAAGTTACTTTAAGCTTTTCTTAAAAGTTCTAAGGTAAGTCATGCCTTGTAGCGTGTGCCCTGCTCTGTAAAACTCTGCTATAGGTCATGTAGATTTGGTCCAGGTCTCAGACAGAAAACTTTTTGTGACTACTGACACATTACTCTAAACATATTAGGGAAGGAGTTGAAAGTATGATTAAGTGAAGCTTGTGGATAAGAATACTTCAGCAGCATGTGGGGAACTTGGTGTCTTGGCTTCTTCTCATATTCTGCACTGGGTATTCTGGGCAGGTAGGTGGTAGGGTCAGTATGTGTGGACTAAATGGCAGCCTGGGGAAAGCACTCCTTCAGCAGAACAGCTGGAAAGTGTTACCTTCACATCAGACAATGAGGATTTTAGTGCGTGTTGGGATAGAAGTGATAGAAGATCTTTTATCTTCTCCTGTTTATTTTTTTCTTCTCCTTCAGAATGTCATAGAATTACAAAAATCCCTGCTTCTTGTTGATGTGGTTGAGAAGGCTCAGCAGCCAGACATTGAAACCAAGTGAATTTTAGGCTGCTTTCCAATCTGGGAACTGAACATATATTATTGATTTTGTCACAGAGGAAGAAGAACACAGGAAAGTGATACAGGTTAATGAAGCCAGTGGCTTTATTAGCTCACTTGGTGGTAATCTCTCAATAGAATATATGGTGTAGGTCATATAACTTTGGCGGCTTGTAAACAGACATGTAAATGAAGTCTAGGGCCTTTTAATTGTCCTCATTCCTACACAAAGGTTGCAAAGAGCAAAACTGAGGTTCTTTCTTTTCCTGTACCAAGGACTGTGTGCCATAATCATCCTGAATGCATTTTTGCACCTCCTGGGAAACAGATCCTTACTTTGGTTATTGTTTGCTGTTAAAACAAAACCAGTTGAACTTCAGTGTATATTCATGACATAGAAATGCAGAACAATTTCAAGTGCAAGGAATCTGAGTTGATCTCATTCAAACCTTTTTGTTCACAAAAGGGGTAACTTAAAGCCAGATCAGGTTGTTCAGGACTCAATCCAGTGAGATTCATGGTGAGAGGAGTGTGGGTGGCAGGGCAGTACAGCAGCAACAGCACTTTAAAAGCTAGATGATGGGTGCTCAGGGAGATGTTGATGTGGGCAGGATCATATTATCACCAAAACATACCTGTTAGGGCAAGAGCAAGGAAGCCAGAGTGCATCCCGCAGAGTGTGGTAAATGAGACAAAACAGATGTTGTAGCAGAATTGCAAAGAAGCCTAGGAGTTCCACTTAGGACTATGTGAATCTGCTTGAAGACTATACAGTGGTAGTCTGAAAAAGCTGCAGGAGATACTGTCCAGCACATGGACTTCCATTAAGATTCAGAAGTCTGCAGAACTGAAAGTCCTTGGCTCTCTTAGGAAGAAGTCATATATCCACCTTGAATGCTTCAGAGAGCTTCTGTGTCTTCCTGGAGGTCAGGGCAATGGTGGCCACTCTTGTGGGAGATGTGCTGTAGTCCAGGTCCTGAGATTCCATGGTGGGAGAAGATGAAGAGGAGACTGACATGGTATTTGTGGAAAACCCAAGCTACACAAGGTGAGGAAGCAGTGACAGCTGAAGACCAAGTGGACAGAGACTATTGAGATAGAAAAGGCTGAAAGGTTGTGGCTTCTGGCAACAAAAGATCACAGGTCTGCTCCACCTGCAGTTGTTCAATTTCATAATACATATAGTATCCTAAGCACTGGTGAGGATCAACAAGACCCATCAGAGTCAGCTGAACCTGAATTTAGTGTTCACACAAAAAGGGGGAAATGAGTGATAATGTTGAGCAGCACTATCTCACACTGTGAGGACAGACAGGTTCTTTTAAGAATCCTTGCTTGAATGAATCCTTGGCTGGCCACAGATTTGTAGTTATATCAGGCCTTAACGTGAGCTGTGTGTTAGTGAAAATCTGGAAAGGAATTGAGTGAACAGTCACAGAAGATTTTGCCATCCCAAATATCTCATGTGCTATTACACTTCCCTGTTCCATAACGGGTGACACTATACTCTGGCAATAGTGCTGTACCATGAGTCAGGAGTAATGGGTACCAGTCACAGAAAATTACTGGAGATTCTTCTTGTGGATGATCAAGGCATGTATTTTCTGATCTCACCTGATGCCTCGGGAGTTTTATTGCTTGGTAGGTGCCAGGATCTGGGATTGTTGCAGATGCACAGCCAAGACTTGTCCAACCTCCTCACAAAGACCTCTTCCTTTCTCTTCCTTGTGGATACCCACAGTACTGCTCTGGAGGTAACCTGGTGCATATAAAGAGGAACTACAGAGGTTTGAGGATGAGGGTGATGGGTAAGGAGCTAAGATCTTGCCTTGCCAGTCCTGGGAGGAGAAAAGATTGGATAGAAGTGGACTGTATGGCTTCTCTTGAAGATGGGACTTTGGCTTCTAGGACTAGAGAAATGAGGGCTACTCAGCAGGGATGGAATAAATCTAACAAAGTAGAACAAGAGTATCTTTACAAACTAAGCCTACTGATCTGCTGAGGAGACTATTAGACTGGGTATGGAAGGTTGCCATAATCTGAAGATGAAAGATCATAAGGGGCAGAGCAGATATGTTTGTGGGACAAGCCTGACAAGGGAGATTTTTACCCTTCTATAAATGTAGCAGGACATGGGGTCTGTCTCTAATGCCTGCACACAAAAGCATATAGTATGGGGAAAGCAGGGCAAATTAGTTGCAGAGATGTGAATCACTGGGGTTGTGCAGGTGTGTTAACTCTTCTAACTGGAGTGCTGCGCGGGATGAATAGAGGCTCTCCAGTAAATACATTAAAATATTAGGAAGAGGGATGATAGTATATGTAAAGGCTTATGTTGACAGCATCTAGCTTTGGACCAAGTCTCATTAAAGATTGGTTGTAACATTAAATTGAAGAAGGATTCAACAACACCCTCAGTGAAAAAAAAAGGCTTTATAATATATTTCCCCTTCTGTTTTGTCTTCACCGCCAAAAAGAATGAAAAACTCCTCAGAGAAGTGTTGGCACACTGTTTTTGAGGGAAATCCTATTAATCAGGCTGCTAGTTCCCATGAGTTGGGATGGTGCAGTGACTTGGACTGTTGAAATGCTGGAGAACTGGAGTTAAGGGGCTAATCTTAGAGAGGAGGAAAGGAAGGGGTCTCTTGTAGCTGCCAAATAACACCTGACAGCTGGACTTCACATGGTCATCTCTTGATGGAGCTAGACCTGGGTCAGGCACATTTATGTGAATTTTGCCCTAAGTGGTGTCACATATAAGGAACCATTTTGATATCTTTTCTCTATCCCTGGCTGGGGTCCTAGTAAGTGAGAAGGTTTAGGTATGTATATAGAATTAGGACTTGCGGTGCTATATCATCTGAGTGGCATTACTGGGA